CCCTATCTATTTTTTCCTGCTCTGGTACATGAACAAAGAACAATATTTGGGAATTATTTATTGGTGTCTTTGTAAGGAATTTGTATTAGAGGTACATGTTTCAAGAGCTACCTTTATTTCTTGAGTTCTTTGAGTAGTTGGCATTTTCATAATGCCTTATGACAGTGTATTACCTTACTGACCGCTTTTGGCACAACACACTGCCATTCCTTAATTACTTTTAATCTCTTTTTAATGTCATTAGTGCAACTAGCACATTTTCTACTGTCAGTGGAAATGACTAGCGATAATCTTAAAATAGGGTGGCCTGACTGTGCCTGTGGCCTTCTTTTATCATCCGTTCTTTTTTGTGGAGCTCTAAAAAGTGGGACAGGTAAGTGCCACAAGACCTGTCTGTCAGCTGGTGACTCTGGGAAGAGTCAAGTTGCTCATCACAACTACAGAATGAAATTAGCCATGCCTTGAGAAATGTCACCTGCTCTGTGTGTGGTTCATTTTGTAGCTGCCCTCTCCAGAGGCAGAGAGTAATCCTATGTGCATGAGGCAGATGAAGAATTTTTTGTTTCACTGTATAAGGGGTTTAATTTCTTTTAATTTAAAATTAAGTCATAACAAATTTTGCCAGTCTCTAGGGGAAATAAAAAAGCAGTTAATACTTTTCTGTCATTCAAATTTGCCACTTCAGATATTTATTATGTATGAGAACAGGCTCATTTTGACAAAACCCATATAATTCCTTTTAAAGAATATTCTTGTACTCCTCAGTGAAAGGTGCTTTCTTGTATTTTATTTTTTTAAATAGCAACTGCTGGTTTCTTTTGGTTTTTGGGTTGGTATATGTTTTGTTTCTCTCTTTAAACTGCATCTTTACAGGAATGACAGAGCTGAGACAGTTTGGAGCATCACCAAATCACATAACCAGAAAACCTCAGGATCAATGTTCTAATTATCACCTCTCAAGAGGAGGTGACCAAAACACACTCTGCCATCACCTTTATTGGTTTGGTTTCTGAAGGCTGATGATACAGCAATTTTGCATCATTAGACCAAAAATAACAAAGGGAAACAATCATCTCAGAGCAATTTACTTTTGAACAGATAGACCTCTATCTCTTCTGAGATGCCTGCTGCATGTCTAAACTTTTAAGATACTTTGGTTTCTTTCCTCATGGTAAGATTGCCTTATAGGGAGGGACGGGGTCAGATTAGACTCTGCTGTATCCATGTGTCTCTGTCTTTTCAGTGTGATAGGCTTTGGTTCAAAATGATCCTAGATAAAGGGTAACACAAACTGAAGAGGAGAAAATGTGGAAATGTCTCAGCAGGAGACCTTGCACTGGGGAAGGACTCGCTTTGCCTGCTTCAGTTCTGTGGACTTCTCGGAAAGGGAAGAATCAAAAATCTGCTGTTCCAGCTTTGGTATCTGAACCACTGGCAAGGATATCACTCCCTCTCCTCCCTCTGCTACTCCCCTTACCCCAGTTTACACAAGCATTCATTTACAATATCACATAACAGCAAGAAAGAAAGCTGTGAAAATGAAATCCTTTTATAAAAGGAAACTTGTAAATCCATCTCCTCTAGAACTCCAAAGCATGACGTAACGCTGATCACTTTGTTGTCCTGTGAAAAGATGTCTTTGTTCTTCATAGCACTCTGGAAGCCAAAGGTTAAAGGCTGAATCCTTGGTATGTTTCTTCTCAGGCTGAATCTTTCCCAAGAGATCAACTAGATCCAGGTGTTATGTCAGAATCCTTTGTAATACAGGATGAGCTCAACTTGGGAATATGTGAGAAAAGCCACAAATTAAATGATTTATAGAAGTATGAGAAAGAAAGACTCTTTTTAGCATCTATTATATATTATTCCATTTCCTGACAAATGTGCTCAGAGTACAATATAAGTTCTGGGTCTTTGAAGTTCTTTGTGCATTACTTTGTTTACTAGACCAAGCAGCCTTTTTCTGTTTTGGTTTAGGTTTTGGTTTTTGGGGTTTGTTTGGTTTGTTTCTTTCTTTGATTGTTTGTTGTTTCTGACTGGAATGGCACCTGTGCCACTGAAATATATTAGGAATTGTTGCTTTATTATTCACTGAAAGGAAGACATCATGATGGGAGTTAGTCACCATCACTTGATTTCTGCTCTGTGGGCTTCAGTGTCACACTCAGCCTTTCTAGAAGACGCTGTATTTGTGTCTAGGTAAATGATTTGCAGGTAATTAAAAATCTAAGATTTAAATTTAGAACTCAGCTCATATTTTAATTTTGATAATCTGCCTGTATTGCGTATGTCTTCAAGGCCACTCTTTATTTCGTGTAATAGCAAGTGAAATTTGAATGTGAAACTTTGCATCATAGCATTTATTAGTAATTGTTCTTTGCATCTTTATTTGTATTGTTGTAGAGTCATGGCCTCAGACCAAAATAATAAATGTGCCCCATCCTTTGAAAACATTTTACTGTGTTTGATTAGATGATGCTTAAAGCCCCTTCCAACCCTATGTTGTACTATTTCTGGAAGTGGTCCTTGGGGTAACCCTGTAATGAAGACACTCTAATTTTCTGCCCATATGGCTTCCTGTCATGAAATAAAAATAAAAGCTCTTCCAGAATGTTCAAAGTGCATTTAGGAAAAGGTCTTTTATTATCACAGAAATAGGACACTTGCCAACTGCATCCACCAACAGCTGCTCTGAACTTTTTATACAGCATTTTCTGAAAATGGCGTATTAAGTTATATAGGACTATGCATTCTTACCCAAATTCTGATTTTCAGAGCCAAAGTAAATGGTGATATTCAGAGTACTATTAGCAGATAGAGTAGTACTCCATTAGCTATTTATGCAGCCCCTTTGTATTAAGCCTAGAGCTGGAATCCAATGAAGAACTGTAATTAAAAGGACAGTTTGGAAGAGGTGATGGTTTTATATTTGAAGATTTTCCTTTGCCTTGTGAAATTGTATATTATGAGCAGCTTACCTGCATTAAAGCAGCTGCCCACATTGGAAAGAAACTGTGAAATGGTGTTTCTTGATGGAGTCGGGCTCTTTCCAGGAAAAAGGGAGTTTGTGTATGTGTTTTAAAAACATGTTTGTATATTATATTTATAGGCCTCAGTTTCCATTTCACTTCCAAATGTCTAATTGTGAAAAGTTTAGCTGAATTGAATCTGTCTGGAAATTCATTATTCAGCAAATCCAAATGCTATTGTCATCTATACCTGAACCAAATGCTTACATGCTTGAACCTCATCAGTTTTTGAAAACTGAATCTTTAGCAAAGTTCATAGTGTCACTTTCTCTTAATGAGAGCAAGAGAATACAAAGCACTCTGAGAACAGAAGGCATTCAGTGCATTTTCTGGAGCGTTCAAATGACAGCTAATTATTCAGGGCAGTGGTAAGGCAAGGTCTTTTAGTTAGACTTAGAACAGAACTGTACAATAGTTTGAGTTGGAAGTGACTCTACAGATCATCTCCTAATACCCCCCATGTCACGGGCAGGGACACCTCCCATTAGAAATGTTGCTCAAAGGCCAACTTAACTATGAATATTTGAAGAGATTGGGTAGCCACAACTTCTCTGAGAAACCTGTTCCCGTGCCTCACTACCCTCACAGTATTCGCATTAAAGAACTGGTTACTAATATATAATCTAAATCTGCCCTCTTTCCATTTAAAGCCTTCTCCCCTTGTCCTACTACTACATGCCTTTGTGAAGTCCCTTTCCAGCTTTCTTTAAATACTAGAAGGTGCTCTGATAAGATCTCCCTGGAGCCTTCTTTTTTCTATCTTGAACAGCCCCAACTTTCTCAGCCTATCTACATAGATCAGAGGTGCTTCAGCCCTCTGACCATTTTTGTGACCCTCCTCTGGACTAGCTCCAACAGATCCATGTCCTTTTTAAGTTGGTATAAATAATAAGGATGTAAGGATGATCACAACACAAACTAAAGACCCTGTGTGTGCTTCTCTCTAACTCTTAAGCTCATTGGTTCAAATCTATTAAAAAGATATGGCTTCATTTTCTTTTTTTTTAAGTCTTTTGGCAGGAATTAAATTTGATAAGCGTGATAATTTTAAAAGCCTCTGCAGGTAGCAAGACATGATTATTGAAGTCAGGGAAATAGAAACAAAAACTACACCAAGTCATGAAAAGTCAAAATATCCTTTGTGTGAGTTTTAGAGTAGAATGGCTTGTGATATTAAGCTTCTCAGGCTGGCCTTCTTGGGGGTAACTTTCCATCAGAATCTTGTGCTGTGTATACAGCACAGTAAACAAGGTAGCTTGAGGCCTGATAGCAGCCTGATGTTTCATCTTGGCTGACTAGATCTGCAACTCTTACAGTGCTCCTATGCTGTGATCACAGTATCACAGTTTCAGGTACCTATATACCTGTGCTAGTTTAGGAATTAAGCTATTTCACCATTTCTATACACAGAAGCATACAGAAGACAGACAATGAAAGACATCCTGAGAGTATTTTTATTACTTCTTTTCTATGAACCAGCTCTTTTATGTAGATAGTCTCTCAGGCTATCAAATGGACCTAGTTTTGAATTACTGTTTCTTAATATTTTCTGGGGTTTTTTTTTGTTTTTTTTTTTTTTTTTTTTTTTTTTTATCTAATGGATTAAATATGGAAAATCAAGCAGAGCTTTCCTCCTTAATCCAGAAAAACATTGTAAGGTTACAAGAGTGCTGGCTAGGAAATTGATAAATCATATATTGGGCAGTTGTTTGTCAACAAAATTTATTAGCAGTCATGAGTTTCCTCATAAGTCATAAGTTGCTATGTGCTGTAATTTGTTGTTGTTGTATCTTTATAAGCCTTGTGGAAATTTGTCGTGTCTAGGACAAATAGTGCTTTATGCCCTTGCTGATATCTGTCATTTGATTAACCTACAGTGCTTAATCAATCTTGGCTTGAAGGACAGGTTCTGGTCAGGTGGTGTGTTCAAACACACAAGTAGAGAGTCCCCTGGAAAGGAGGAAGAGAATTCCAGGTTGTTCATTGTTTCTCTCCTGCCAACACATAGAGGAAAAATGCAGAGAATAAAACACATGTGAAAGTCATGAGCTTGCTCTCTGTCACCCTTGCTCCACAGATGTTTAAACAAGTTCTTTACTCCCTAAGCATTTCTGCTAGATGCTTTCTTTCCTTTGAAAGCAAGACTTCAGTTTTCTTCCATACTCAGAAGAGACCAGAGATTTGTTTTCAATATCTTTGCCAAAGCATGCTGGCTGCCAGTTATTCTTCACGTACCTGATATAAGCAGAAAAGGCAAAAGATTATGTGAGCTCACACACCACTTCATGTTGGCTGCAAAGTGTAAAAGGAACCAGGGAAAATATTCAGAAACAAGTTGTGGAAAAATGTATTCAAGTAAAACATCAAATATACTTGTAATAGACAAATATTCTTTGAAAACAAGTAAACAACAACAAAAAATGCTGCTTTGGGGAATCTCTATGGTCTAGTTATCTTGATAAATGTTTCAGAACTTCCAAGCTGTGATAAGAATGGACTCCACACTTTTTCAAGTGTGGAGAGAACCTGCAAAGGGGATGTCCCCCTTGGGTTTCTGCCTGCTTCTGTAGCCTGACAGCAGTGCTGAACAGCAGTGTTGGCAGACTGGTACTCATCTGCCAGGGCCAACAAAAGTGAATTGGCAGTTCTTGTCCACAAATTAGATAATATCACCATTGCAATTTAACAAAGACCACCATGTACCTGCATGAGCTGTCAAAAAGTTTTGTGTTGAGAGCTCCGGAGTCTTGAAGCAATGACACCAAGAGTAAATGTTCTGGAAAATTCCCAGTTTTCTGTCTAAAGGGACTTTCATCTTTTACTATGATGTCCCTTATTTTTCCCTCACTATTTAACCAATTTCTGTACTGACAATGCTTAAATAACCAACTATTGAATCATAAATACAGATTGTCATTTTAACAAGTCTTGTTACTTAGAACAACTAGGTCTGGAGCCTAAAGGTAAGTACCCACTGAAATTGCAACATAATATCATATTTCATTAAAATGTACACATTTAGAAGAAAAACAACAAAAACCTTTCTTTGAGGTTGAACTAGTATGAGCAACTTCTATGAAGGGGACTTCTAAGAAGTAGAAGCTGACAGATCAAATGGAAAAAGCTGTCAAAATTTAAAAAGGTAACCTATTTGAAGAACCTTGGTTTTGATCTCTGATTGAGACAGTCTTAGGAAAACTGTACTATGGAAGAATTTAAACTGTCTGCATCCAAATGTTTAAGGGAATATGAAAATTCAACAAATCACAAGTTATTGAAATATCAATGCATGTACTGCATGGACAGGATTTGGAATAACCTGGAGAGTTGGCTGTTTGCACAGTAGTAGGGAAGAAGTGATCCAGATCAGAATAAAAGCAAAACAGAGACATGCATGAAATTGTTAGATATGGTAAGTATGCAAATTAAACAAAATATCTTGTTTACTTATAGCTCAGAGTTATGCAGATTATGAATTGGGCTAATTTATGCAAGATTAGTTGGTTCATTTAGGCAAGATACTACCAAATAACCCGTCTTTGGTGATGTTTTTGTACCTGTGAGGGATTGTCACATCTTGTCTTCATAGGACATGTGAAAATCACAGTACATTCCTATGGATACCAGTCAGTATTTCTGAAGGGAGATAAGAGGTGGTGCAACATTGTAGGAATTTCTATTTCACAAATATCAATTTTATTTTTTTTAAGTTTGTAGGGGTTTTTTTAACTTCTGGTTTATTGAGTGCTTTTGTAAAAATCAGTAGTCATCCATATAGAATCAATTAAATGGGGACATATGCTTCTCTGTGGATTATACCCTCTTGCCCTGAATTTGTTTGGTTTTTTTCTTGGCACAAAATCTTCAGAAGAAATATAATAAGGTGAGGCATTAACAGTAACAAGCTTGCCTCTTGGATTGAAAATGCAGAATACCTTTGACAGCTCTCCAAGGCTTACGCTATCAGCCAGATCAGTAATGTTCTGATTAAATCTTCTTCAAGAAGAATGTCTTCACTGCTAGTGTGGCCAGGCATTGGAATGTGTTGCACAGGGAGATGATGCAGTTGCCATCCCTGGAACTGTTCAAAAAACCAAGTAGATGTGTCACTCTGTGATATACTCTAGTGAGGGTGGTGGTGTTTAGTCAAAGGTTGGACTCAATGACCTTGGAGTTCTTTTCCAACCCTAATGATTCTATGAAAGCAAAAAGCTACATAACCTAGCACATTTCACATATTTGAAACTCTACTCCACTACTTAAAATTTTCTCCACAGCTGCCAGTGCCCCATGGCCTGAACATGCCAGTGTGCTGCAGACAATGAAATAGTGACTCCTCCATCCCTTGACACTGACCCTGTTCTCCCTGTCCCAAATTGACCTTCCCTCCTAGGGCCAAGAAAAGTTCTCTGGCTCAGGGCTTCTGAGGGTGTTTTCTTGTGGGTGTTTTTTTGTGGACTTTCTGGGCTTTGTGGTTCTCTTTCTTTTCTTTTTTCCTTTCTTTCTTTCTTTCTTTCTTTCTTCCTTCCTTCCTTCCTTCCTTCCTTTCTTTCTTTCTTTCTTTCTTTCCTTTTTCTTTCACAGATGATGCCCTGTAATTTCTGCAGTTTAACATTTGAAGGCAGAGACACAGTTCTGAATATCCAGGAAGAAGGGAAGTGATGCCTTTGGACACCTGAACTTCACTGTGTTGTTGCAGAAGCACATCTTTCTTAAGCCTTATGATGTGACTTACACTTCTTGATTTAAGGACACACACCATGACAAGCAAATCTTTCCACAAATTCTCTTTTGAACACCTATGGGCTTTGTGCTTGAGTTCTGTTTGTCTTTCCTTACAGCAAGCACTCAAGCTAGCAGCATTACTTAGAAGTTTTAATTTTAAAGCAGTGATTGGAAAGAGTTTGAAGAAAGCAAGACTTGAACTCAGAAATGTAGCATTTATAAAGTTAAAAATAAAAAAGGTTAATCAACTTGTGCTTGTGTGCATTTTCAAAATACTTGGTATTTTAAGTATGGTTCCTGAAATAATGGCTGAACAATTATTGTACGTTATTTTAGTTTAAAAATAACTCAAGATGTAAAAAATCTACAAAGAAGAAATTGACAGGAAAATACTGTTCTTAAATTATCCATACAGTTATGAAATCCACGGTTTAATAAGTGGATATTTTGAAATATCAATGTTATTTTCCTCATGTGAGAAAAGCTACTTCTGCATAAGCTAAATACCTGTTCTCAGACACTAGTAGCAGTTTTATATAGTTGTAATTATCATTCCAAGATGTCAGTTATAAAAAAGCCACGAGAGGGCAACACTTTTGCATAGCTTGTACATGGAGCTGGGCTTTGGATGATTCCTTGCTCAGTATCCCTTCCAAAAGCTACAGGGCAGTGCATGTTTCTTCAGGATGAGAAGAAACACTAGCAATGCACCTAAAAAGAGTATTTTTTCAGTCTGCCCACCTACACTTCAGAACCATTTACAGTTCCAGTAGAAACCACTGAAACTACTAACAAAAGTGTGTAATTGCAGAAATATTCAATTGTGCTTTAATTTTCAAGTGGAAAATTAGTAAAATTAGTTCAAATGAGCAGTGTATTCTATTCACACTCCCAGCATGGGAGCAGCCTTGGCACAAAAATGAACACATAATTAAAGGTGGGTTCTCCCCCTAGATTGATCCAGATTTCAGCTAATTTTCTTCCTTAAACCCTGCTTTAGATCTCTTACTTTTTTAATCTTTCCTTAAGTGTGTGGATTCCAAATCACTGCATTTGCTGAAAGGATGTATTCTTTTCAAATATTTCAGAAGTTAGTCTTATTTTCTGTCTGCATATAATTTTGTTAAATTATTTTGAACTGAAACTGTCAGAAAGTACCTTCAGATCTCAAAATAATTTTTTAATTTCTGTGTATATCACAGGTTTTAATAATGTTTTACTTTTTCTGTAAATCTGTAGATGAGGACCCTGGCTCCAGAAAGACTCTAAGCTTTCTCTTAATGAAAACAATTCAGTTGGCTTTTTGGATTGGATTTTATTATGCCTAATCTAGTCATAAGGCCTTTAAAAAATAACATTTAAAATTATAGGCCTTCCAATGTTAAGAAGCATTTTTTTCCTGAGTTCTTTGCATTAAAAAAAAAAAAAAAAAAGTTTTGATTAATTCAATCTTATCTCTGGAATATTTTGTGGGGAAGGGAGGAAAGTGTGATAGCTTTTTTTTTTTGTTCTTGGGAAGAAGAAGCTGGGATTTTTCATCAGACTCTCTATCGCATTGGTCAATGTGATGGGGCAGTAGTGTTACAAATGTATATCTTTGTGAAATTGTATCAATTTAGAAATCCTAGTAATGAAATTATTTTTATGCAGCAAAAGAAGAAATTGCTAACTGTAAGAAGTAAATGGGGTGGGGTGGACTGGGGGAAGCAGTGGAAAACAAAGACTCTTTGTGGGATCTACAAGAGCTAAACACAGTTTCTTTAAACCAGTTGGGCAGGTTAAATGTAGAGATGTCTTGTTTTTCAAAAAGAAATCCCATGGAATTGTCAATTACTCTTCAACCTAGACAGTGATTCATTGTCCATTGAATAAACAAAGTAAAAAAGCAGTTGTGATCATGATAAAAACACCTTTGAGAAAAGTCCAGAGCCTTGAGGGCTGAAATCTCAGTGACAAATTGCGATCCACCTCCAGCCTTAGCTTTACAGTAGCTCCCAGTTTGTTCCCAAAAGGGTGCAGGAGTTCACTAAGGACTATATTTTAACATCTACCTGACTAGCACTGAGTCAATATGCCTTGGGGAAAAAAGTGACTGGGAAGAATACTTTTTTAAATTATTTAAAGGCTTTACAATTATTCCAGCTCTCTGTTCACTAACTAGGTTCCAGATGTTGACTCAGTGAAAACAACTCGTATTGTATATTAACACAGTGGTGCTGGGTGGAAAAAAAACAACTCCAAATGAAATTTTCTCAAAAGCAGCCTACTCTTATCTGAACATAGCTGTTTCCTATCAGTTGTTTAGTATTTAAATCTGGTGATAAAAATGAGATTGAAAGAATGTGCTGTGCCTTAGTAGTCTTGATATAGCTCCTGTTAGGTGTTCTAACTGGATGAACACAGAGTACATTAACAAATCACCTTAAAACTTCTGCCACCTTTCAGATAAAGACCACTTCTTGACTAAAGGAAAAGGTGTTCTTACTCGGGGGCTGGGTTTACTAAGTGCACTTAAGAGATTACAAATGTAAAGGTTATTTGTAATCCAAATTACACCATCTCTTTGC